AACTCACTCTATTACGTTTCGAACCCGAGATCTCTCATAAGGGAAAGCGAGTCGATGACCAGCTGGACTGGACAACATCCTCTCATCCGGCGGTCGTTTATTCAAGTCGTAAGGCGTTGTGGGTTTCCTTTAGCTTGTCTGCTTCGGATGGTTTTGGTTGCTGGGGGTGTGAGCGAAACACTGTGGGCTCTTTGGTTTTGTGTTCCTCGGGTTTTCTATTTTCATGAAGGTAGGTGGGATGAAGGCGCAATATAAGTCAATTGATCACTATGGGCGATTTGATTTGGAGGTGGACGAAGGCAAAGCAGTGAAAACAAGATAAAGCAGCAAATTCAATGATGGAGGTTGAAACAAGTGGATGAAAGAATGGGGTTGGGGCGAGTTCTGAACAATAATCTCACCCGAAAAGCTGAGTCTGAATAATTCAAGTTCCTGATTGTGTTTAATTCGTTTTGAGTTTTACTTTGAGACTGCTAGTTTTAATTTTATTTTCGTTGGTTTAGGCCTTTTTGTTGGGATTGGAAAATTCTTCTATTCAATATCAAGAACAGAATTACAATAGGAGGAGCAAACTCTCACACTCAACTATTACAAAAAACCAATCCTCACCAATACACTTCTACTCTAAGTGTATTTCACTCTTCACACACTTTTCTCACTTTCTAAACTGATGATATGAACAACAATAGAACACTCTATTTATAGGCTACTTTGGAGACAAGAGGAAGTTGCATCCATGCTTCCATAGTTATCTCCATATCTTCTCCCATCTTTATTTGTTGGAGACCTCCTTCCAAGAAGGTGTGAGATGCCTCTTGGCAACTTCCAAGAAAGAAGGTGGAAACTCCCTACAAATCTCCCCCTCCACCTTTTTCTTTATTTCTCTCGTACCTGCGATGCTCGTTGGCTCCCCCTCGCTGGCAACAAGTATCCATTCGGACGTGGAATACTTTCTCTGTGGAATTATGCCTCGCATAGAACGTCGAACATGAATACCTTCAGCTTCGTCTTCAGATGAAGGCTCCCCCTGCTGAGGAATATCATCACTGTGAGTATCATCATCACCTACTGAACCATCACTCTCTTGTTCAGTAGTATCATGCATCTCCTCGTCGCTGAGAGGAATGTTTGATGATACATGCACTTCGTCTTCTGGAGTATGTTGTTGGCGGATTATTGGAACACACCCATGAAACTCGTTTTCATGAAATACAACATCTCTGCTTCGTACAACTTTCTTCACTTCGGGATCCCACAACCGGTATCCGAATTCTTCATCACCATACCCGATGAAGATGCATGGGTTTGACTTGAGATCCAGCTTCTGTCTCAACTCCTTGGACACATGTGCAAATGCCTTGCACCCGAACACTTTTAAGTGAGAGTAAGAAACATCTCTTCTTGACCATTTCTTCTCTGGCACTTCAAAGTTTAAAGGAACAGAAGGTGACCTGTTTATAAGATAACAAGCTGTCAGCAAAGCTTCACCCCAGAATGGCTTAGGTAGTTTAGCCATACTCAGCATGCAGCGAACTTTCTCCATAATGGTCCGATTCATTCTTTCGGCTACACCATTGTGCTGTGGAGTTCGTGGAACCGTCTTCTCATGTCTGATTCCATATGCCGCGCAATATGCTGAGAACTCCCGAGAAGTGTACTCTCCTCCATTGTCTGAACGCAGGCACTTCAGCTTCTTCCCTGTTTCTCTTTCTACCATGGCATGAAATAATTTGAAGCGATCAAACACTTGATCCTTACTCTTCAAACAATAAGCCCATACCTTTCGTGATGCATCATCAATGAATGTCACGAAATATCTGCTTCCTCCAAGTGACTCCTCTTCAATGGGTCCGCATACATCAGAGTGTATAAGACTGAGTAACTCTGAATGGTTCTTCCTGGTAGAACTGAAGGAAACCTTATGTTGTTTCCCGAATAGACAGTGCTCGCATGGATCTAGGGCAACACCTTTGCCCATGGAAATGACTTCCTTCTTTGCAAGAGTTGTCAATCCCTTCACGCTCAAGTGGCCTAGCCTTCGGTGCCACAAGGTTGGTGATATCTCTTCTTCAACAGCATTAAGACTTGGATGACACAACTTTGCATGAGTTTTATAAAGAGTACCACAAATATGGCCTCTTGCAACAACCAAGGAACCTTTAGATAACTTCCACGTACCTTCTTTGAATCGGTTAAGATATCCTTGCTGATCCAGAGCTGTACCGGAGATAAGATTCAATCTAAGATCCGGAACATGTCGAACATCTTTCAACACAAGTGCGCATCCGACATTGGTTGTTATGTGCACATCACCAATGCCAACAATCTTCGAGAAACTGGTGTTTCCCATCTTCACAGCTCCAAAGTCCCCGGACTTATAAGATGTGAATAAATTCTGGTGTGGAGTGGCGTGAAATGATGCAGCTGTATCAATCACCCACTCATCATCATGAGTACCTACGTGTAAACATTCTTGTTCACCATGTGTAACAAGACACACGTCTGATGACAAACTAACCATGGTCTCACCATCATCTTGGTTAGTATTTTGACTCGTCTGTGGCTGCTCTCGTAGAAACTTTCTACAATCTCTTTTTCTGTGCCCATAATTACTACAGTAATTGCAATATCCTTCAAACCAAGTACTGTTTTCAAAGGACATACCTCTCTCTTGTGATCTGCCGCGAACTTGAGAATTTCCTCTGTTTTGACCTTGGCCTCTACCTCGACCTCGAGTTCTTCCTCCATTTCTGCCTCCCCCTCGTCTGCTGGTTTCTGACACGAAGGCATATGATTGTTCAGTCCCGGCTTCTTTTCTTCGGGCTTCTTCATTCATAAGGGCATCTGTGACCATCTGCATAGTCACTTTGCCATTGGGAGCAGAATTGCTGAGAGTGACAACAAGAGTCTCCCAGCTGTCAGGTAGAGAGCTCAAGAGTAGTATCGCCTGTTCTTCATCTTTGAGAACCCATCCGGTGGTGCTCAACTGATTCACAAGATCCTGGAATTGACTGGTGTGTTCTGACACCGAAATACCTCCTCGTAATTTGTGGTTTACTAATCGCCTCATTAGTAAAGTCTTATTTCGTGCGGTTTTTGCTTGATACATGCTACCAAGCTTCTCCCATAGTGTGTAAGCACTTTGTTCTTGCGCAACATGGTGGAACACACTATGATCAATCCACTGTCGAATTTGTGCGACAGTTTTTCTATTCATTTTTGTCCATTCTTCATCCGTCTTTTTATCCGGTTTCACGCCATTATTATCAAGAGGATCAGCTAAATCCCTCAAATTTAGCAAATCCTCCATCCGAGGCTTCCACATATTGTAATTTGTGGAAGTGAGCGCAATCATGGTGTCCGATGATGATTTATCCATAATAAAACGCTCAAAATATCTCGTACCTTATTTTCGGAGCCGAATTTGGACAAACGGAGCTCACCGTTGGATCCGGAATGGCCGAAAATGGTAGGAACCGGTCTGACCTTGTCCAAAACCGGTCCGAAAATGGGTGAACCGGCCTCCACAAGTACGAACCGGTTCGGTCCGGTTCAGGCAGCAGCCCAGTGAGCAGACCAGCAGGCGGATGACGTGGCAACAGCTGGCTCTGCGCTGGCGCTGACGTGGTGCCACGTGTCGCTGACGTGGCGCTGACGTGGCGCTGACGTGGCACCTAGAGATGGCTTGCACGGATGACGTGGCGGATGACGTGGCGCTTACGTGGACTGACGTGGCGGCTGACGTGGCGGCTGACGTGGCTCGTCTTCTTCCTCTGGACTGCGTGATGACGCAATGATGACGCAGGCAGTTTTCCGGCGCGTTTGGGCGGCGCGTACGGCCTCTTCCGGTGGCCAAAAAATTCCCAAAAAATACCAGATTTCTCGTCTCGACGAGACGAATCTAATGGTATGATCAGATCGTGATTCCGAGCAACTTGAAAAATCACGATTTTCTAACCTGTAGAAATTTATCTGAAAATGAGAAAACAGTGTATGAAAACTCAACCTCGCTCTGATACCACTTGTTGGGATTGGAAAATTCTTCTATTCAATATCAAGAACAGAATTACAATAGGAGGAGCAAACTCTCACACTCAACTATTACAAAAAACCAATCCTCACCAATACACTTCTACTCTAAGTGTATTTCACTCTTCACACACTTTTCTCACTTTCTAAACTGATGATATGAACAACAATAGAACACTCTATTTATAGGCTACTTTGGAGACAAGAGGAAGTTGCATCCATGCTTCCATAGTTATCTCCATATCTTCTCCCATCTTTATTTGTTGGAGACCTCCTTCCAAGAAGGTGTGAGATGCCTCTTGGCAACTTCCAAGAAAGAAGGTGGAAACTCCCTACACTTTTTAGGTGAGATATTAGGATGTTTTTTGTTAGTACTATGGTGTTGAGCACTCGGCTAGTGAGTGTTCTGCACGACAATTCTTTACTTTTGGTCATAATAGGCATGCCACATGTTGAATGGATAGTGAATTATTGTGCTTTTAGCATATACGATTATAAATCTATAATGGGAAAACTGTTAAATAGGTCCTCGAACTTTCATACAAAGGTCAAATAAGTTCTTATATAGGACGCTCTGTCCGGCCGTCGCGATTTGGGGCGGTTCCCGGTGGAATTTTTTGATGAAACTTTTTTAGCATCTTATTCATCAAGTCTAGTTTACTCATACCAAATTTCAGCTAAAACTTCAATCGAGAACGTATTCAAATTAATTCTTGAAGATAACTGCGCGCATTTAACTGCACAGTTATCTTCAAGAATTAATTTGAATGCGTTCCCGATTGAAGTTTTAGCTGAGACTTGGTATAAGTAAACTAGACTAGATGAATAAGATGCTACAAACTTTCCATAAAAAAATTCCACCTGGAACCGCCCCAAATCGCGACGGCCGGATAGAGCCTCCTACATAAGGACTTATTTGACCTTTTTTATGAAAGTTCAAGGACCTATTTGATAGTTTTCCCTTCTATAATCCTACGGTAGGTGATCAAAATTGGAAATGGGAGTGATCTTGTGGTATCTATGTGAGTTTATATACTTTAAATCTTCTTTCTTCCAAAACAATGATTAATCAAACTTAACAACAATGACTAAAAAAAGTCAATGATGGCTAAGTGAAAGGGAGGGAGGTAATATAATGGCAGCAATAGGCACAAACACATGGCGGCCTCAACGGAAATGCAAAACTATGCCCAGACTACTTTCGGATCCCAAGTTACAGCCGCATAAAATCCGCATAATTTTGCATTCCACTGCGTCATTAGAGCAATCTTTCACGAAAGATGCTTTATTTTTTTGTGGGTGCCTTTCTTTGTCCCATGTGGATCTCTTCTGACTGGTAACAAACAAACCGTTTGGCCATATAGACTGACCTATCCATCGCCATAGCTTCTTTTTCAATTCTTCTCTCGTCTAAGAAACCATCCAGAAGCATTTGACCCTTTGACCCCCTCACTAATCAAACCTCGAAACTCTCTGTTCATTCTTTAGCCTGGTTTGAAAAAGTGATCTGGGAATTGGGATGGTAAGATTTATAGAAGCACTGATATGTGCTTTTGTTTTTATCCTATCAATCGCGTCTTCTGCTCCGCTAGATGGGTTCTTCTACACCAGATTCAATCAGCCAGAGAACAACATCAGCTTTAGTGGGGTGGCGACGGTCGCCGGAGATGGAGTTCTTCAGCTGACCAATCAGTCCCACCGGACAATGGGTCACGCTTTCTATTCCGCTCCCTTCAAATTCAAAAATTCCCCAAATGGCTCGGCTTTCTCCTTCTCCACCTGTTTCGCCATGGCCGTAATCCCTGAATATGAGAAGCTCGGCGGCCATGGCCTCGCCTTCGCCATTTCCCGGTCTCTGGATTTCAGCACGGCCCTTCCCAGCCAGTATCTCGGCCTGCTCAACTCCCACAACATTGGGAATTCGTCGAACCATCTTTTTTCTGTTGAGTTCGACACCGTCCAGGATTTCGAGTTCGAGGACATTGATGGTAACCATGTCGGGATTAACGTTAACAGCTTGGTTTCCAGGGAGTCCGCCGGAGCTGGGTATTTCACCGGCGATCTCAAGAAACGAGATCTGAATCTCAGGAGTGGAAAGACGATTCTTGCTTGGGTGGAATACGATTCTGCTTCAAACCTCATTAACGTCACCATTTCCCCTTCTTCTCTGAAACCCAGAGTTCCCCTTCTGTCACATCGCTTAGATCTATCTGGTGTTCTGAAAGAGAATATGTACGTCGGGTTCTCTGCCTCCACCGGAGTCCTCGCCGGAGCTCACTACATATTAGGGTGGAGCTTCAAAATCAACGGCGAAGCGAAAAGCATCAATCTTCACTCCCTCCCATCGATCCCCGGAGTCAAGAAAAGGCACGTGGCTCTGGTGGCGTCGGCCTCTGCGGCGGCGGCGGGTTTGGCTTTGCTTTCCGTTCTGGTGGGAGTTTATGTGTTCAAGAGAGTCAGGAATGCTGACGTGGTGGAGTCGTGGGAGCTTGAGATTGGTCCGCACAGATATTCGTACAGTGAACTGAAGAAAGCCACCGGCGGTTTCAAGAGCAGCGAGTTACTCGGACAGGGCGGATTCGGTCAGGTATGATTCCACCTTGCTCTTTGACCTTTTTCTAAAAAGTCTATTATTGATGAACAAAAACAATAATTACATATTTGTTCCTAAACTAAAAATAAGAACTCTCAAGATAACAATCACACTACATTTATGAATTATGATAACTTAAAAAAAAACTATACTCATGATAACTTTGGGTCAAACACATAAATAGTACGTAGTACCTTAATTATTGATGTTGTTACATTTTGGTACTTTAACTTTGATTGAAACAAATCACTATCATTACTATGCTTAGTGTTCCAATTAGCATCACTATTCAAATTTACAAGAAAAAATTACATGTGGCCGCCAAAATTATTCGTATAATCCATTATACTACGTACGTTACTTTTATCCATACTACCAACGTACGGTAGACTATGCCCCCGTTTGGAGCATAGCGGATTAGCTCAAACCGTTGATATATTACAATAGGAAAACGCTCCAAATTGCAGCGAGTCAGTAGTAATCCGCTGGAAAACAAACAGACCCTATACCTATGAAATTCGGGTGGTCACGTGACACGTAGGATTCTTTGGTCATAAATTTGAATAATATTGATGTTTGAAATATTTATGTATAATTATGATACTGATTTGTTTAATTTAAGAGATATGATACCAAAATGTAACAATATCAAAGGTTAATGTACCATTTGTGCATTTATCCGGATGATTTTAGTCATATTTTGGTAAATAAGTTTATCATCAGTAATATTTTTTTAAAAAAAAATTGCTCCCAATCATGAGATATTAATGAAAAGAAAACACCAATATATTTATTGTTAAGTTATTTTCAAAATCACTTGTATTTTTGTATTTGTATGCATTGCATATTCTCCGAAGGTAGTATAAAAACAATTAAACAATGACATATATAGTTCTAAGATAATGGCCGTAGACAATAATGTGACCATTACAATCTTTGACCATAAATGTCCATAATTGACTAATCTCGTATAACGATGATTGTAGTGCCATTGAGTCATTGACCAATCTAAACAAATTTAAAACTTTTCATAACATTAATGGTATTTCATTTTACTATTCATTTTCCAAGGCCTTGTTTGGTTCAAAAGAGGGGAGGGAGGGGGAAGGGGAAGCAAGGATTTTGATAAAAAAATGTGTTTGGTTGGAGAAAATAGGAGGAAAGGTTTAATGAAAATATTTTTCCAATTTACCTTTATTTGATAGTTTATTTAAAAAAATAGATACGTAGTACATTTCTAACTATGGTAAATATTACTCCTAAGCTCATGAGGCATAATATTTTTTTCTTTTTTAATTTTATAATTTTTATTTTTTATTTTTTATTTTTTAATTTTTATTTTAGAATTTTTCATTTTGAATTTATAATTTTTGAATTTTTAATTTTTTTCATTTTGACTTTTTTTTTTATTTTTTTAACTTTTTTATTTTTTAATGATTTAATTTTTTAATTTTTTAATTTTTCAATTTTTCAATTTTTCAATTTTTTAAATTAATTTTATTTTTTACCTTTGTATATTATAACGTTTTGTTTATTCACGTAGCAGATGTAGGCATGGCAATGGGTCGGGGCGGGGCGGATACTGCAAGACCCAGACCCTCCCCGTGACTTGGCGGGGCGGGTCTGCCCCGCCCCGTTACCTGCACGGGTCCAAACTTGTTGACCCATGACCCGCCCCATTCGGAGCGGGTCTGCCCCGCCGTAACCTAATTAGCTAGTATGTATTTTTATTTGTGGGAAGTTGTTACCAATTGAATCTACATAAAGTTTATCTCTAAATAATAATTAAAAATTAATATATTAAATCAAATTCATGATACCCTAAAAATTTCAAAAATTAAGGAAAAATTACTCAGGCTTGAATATTTAATTTATTTAATTATACTAATAATCGAACATATGTTTAAAATGCTATACATAAAGAAGACATTGATAGTCCGTCGTTCATCTCATTCTAATATATGTATTAATATATTATAAGATCAAATAATTTATGATTTACTGTATACACACATGTATGTTGAAGTATATTTATAGTATAATTTAAGAAAAAGTATGTATGCTTATGTATTGAGTGGGTCGGCGGCGGGTTGGGACGGCACGGGTCAATATTAATACCCGGATCCGCCCCATTGTATAGGCGGGGCGGACCTGCCCCATTTGGAAAACGGGGCGGGCCGGGCGCGCCACAAATGTCTCGGGCCAGGGCGGGTCAATGCGGGTCGGGTTTTTTTTGACATCCCTAGGCAGATGGATAATTTGTGATTATTCATTATCAACATGTTTCCTCCAAAATACCCCAATTTGGGGGGTTTAGAATAGGAGGAATTTGGAATTCTTCCACTTTCCTCCCCTTCCCCCCTATTTCCTTCAACCAAACACACACAAATTGCTCACTTCCCTCCCCTCCCCTTCGAAACCCTCCAACCAAACAGGGCCTAAAGGAAATTTAAGCATAAGCAAGTAACTCGTTGAGCATTTTACTATCACTAGCATTTTCGGGTGATCCAAGGTTCCAAACATAGTGTTAGAGAATGCAGATGCATCATGCACATGTTATATCTAAATAGTAAAATGAGTATTTCTTCATATGCTAAATAGGTATTTATATTCAAATGATCATTTTTCAATTTCAAACACAAAAGTAGCTTTTATTACAAAATAGCTTTTATCAAGTTACCCCCATATATATATATGATACGGAGTAGAAACTATGAGGTTATTATGTTTAACAGGTCTACAAGGGGATTTTGCGGATTTCAAAAACTGAAATCGCAGTGAAAAGAATCTCAAATGAATCCCGACAGGGGCTACGGGAATTTGTGTCTGAAATCTCAACAATAGGAAGGCTAAGACATAGGAATTTGGTACAGTTACTAGGATGGTGCAGAACCCGTTGTGATCTAATGCTCGTCTATGATTACATGCCAAACGGAAGCTTGGATGGTTTCCTATTTGACCGTCCCAAGTTGGTGTTAACATGGGAACAAAGGTTCAACATCATCAAAGGCGTCGCCTTTGGGCTGTTATACTTACACGAGGAATATGAACAAGTTGTGATACACCGCGACATCAAGGCTAGTAATGTGTTGTTGGACGGGGAGATGAATGGACGTTTAGGAGATTTTGGGCTCGCTAGGTTACACGAGCACGGGAGCAATCCGGGGATGACACGTGTTGTGGGGACATTGGGTTACTTGGCACCAGAGCTTTCGAGGACAGGAATAGCAACGACAAAATCAGACGTGTTTGCATTCGGGGCGTTGTTGTTGGAAGTGGTTTGTGGAAGGAGGCCAATAGAGCTGAAGGCTGCTCAGATAAGGGAGTTGGTTTTGGTAGATTGGGTATGGGAGAAGTTGAGAGAAGAGAGGATTATGGACGTGGTGGATTGGAGGATGAAGGGAAGGTTTAAGGAGGATCAAGTGGTGATGGTGTTGAAGTTGGGGCTCATTTGCTCAAGCAATGACCCGACGGCCCGACCGAGCATAAGGCAGGTGTTGAGTTACCTCGACGGAGAGGCCCGATTGCCCGAGGTTATGATGGAGCCAGATCATCAACATAATGAGAATAATAACAATGACAGAAGTGAAGGGGGAGTTGGGATTCAAGAGCATTGTGAGTTAACTTCCTCACAGATTGGTACTATTTTCGCTTCCTCATCATCTGCTTCACCTCATTCCCCTTACTAGAATAGTAGGGGGTAAAAGAGTTTATTTGCCATCGTCCGTACATCCATAGTCAGAGGTGAATCTATCATGTTAATCCATTTAAAAGGTTATTTAATTTGTAGTGTTTTTAATTCATCTTACGTATAAAGAAACATCTTAAATTAAGATTGGATAGGTTTATGGAATATCAAGCGAGCTATTCAAGTTAAGGTAGTAGATAGCTTCTTAATCTTTATTCCCTTTTTTCTGGGTATAATGTTCAAGAGTTTGTTCCATGTATGCTAAAATATGAAGCAAAGAACTAGGAGAACTACTTCTCCTACCAGGTCTGTTTCTAAGATGGATTCCAAGCGTAAATATTGTTATGCTCGTAATAAAATGTAAAATGGTCTAACTGTCAAATCTTAAGAGAAGTAACTATGAGAATGGACTAGTTGCTGCTTGAGTAGTTGAGTATACAAGGATGGGAGCATAGATTACTTTTAATACTTTCATTTATGTACTCGGTATTAACTGTGGTGCCTGCCGTTCCATACTTGTTTCTGGCTCGCAAAACTTGATGGGCATTGTGTCTCATTTAGAGTCCCTATAAAGACACAGATAGGATTGGAGGCATACTTGGGAGTTCCATAAATGATTCAAAGCAAATGGGCGAGTGCAGGGATAATAACACAGTGAAATAATGTTGGATTCTAATACAGCAAATGCTCAAAATATGCTGGGCGCCTGGGCCGAGTAACTACTTGGGGTCTTTAGAATTGGGCCTCACTAAGTATGGGGCTTGAGGATGCTTTCTTTTGAATAGTTTTCCCTCTCAGACAAGTTCATATCAAGCATGATCAGACCAGACTTAAACAAACTAGACAAGACAAACTAGACCTAGAGCATGTTTGGTGAGCATGTTTTCCGGCTTATGAGGCTTCTTAGCCAACTTTTTCACCAAACACGTAATTTTTTATTTCATGCGCTGAATTATATAATAATAAGAAAAAGTAAGGTTGAAGTTACTTTTCTGGCTGAAGTTATGGTATAATACCATTTTAGCTATTTTTTATATAATTTTTTCTTTATTTTATTAATAAAATATATTTTATATATAATTTTTTCATAAATTAGCTGAATCAGCCAATACAGCCACATTAGCCAGAACTTCATAAATATCAGCAGAAACAGCTGATTCAGACGATTTCAGTGTTACCAAACGGGCTCCTAAACAGATCAGACTTCCGTAGTTATAAAATACACAGAAACTAGTCAATTACCAAACCGGACCACACTAGTTCAGATTAGACCAAAGCAAACTCCAATAGACCAGACCAGCAACTCTCCGTCTAAAAGAAAACATCCTAATTTGGAAAAGAAATAACGTGAAGGCATATGTTATTTGATACTTCAAAAAATATAAATACAGATTAAAAATCAAATTGAGAACATAGTTAAATTGTTAGTTTTTAAATTTATGTATTTTTATTAATTATTGAAATTGTTAGTTTTTCATTGAAAGTACAATGAAATTGTTAGTTTACATGTTAGTTTTGAACTATATGTGTTTTTTATATATACATTTTAATTTCAATGAAAAACTAACAATTTAAATAATTTAAAGGATAGAAAGGGGGTAAGAATACATACGGAGTATTAGATATTACTCCTGTATATTACTAACAATTTCAATATGTACATCTAATATGTTAAAAACACATAAAGTTAAAAACTATCATGTAATATGTACTCTTACATAATGATAGACAGATAGAGTAGCTTTTAATTTACATTTAGAAAAAATTATGGATATAGTTCCATAACTTTTAATTGTGTTTGCTTTCAATCCTATAATTTTAAGCAACCACAGATCTGATCAGATAATTAATAAATTTGTTCATATTAAAGACCTTTCCACCGGAAATCGTACCTAGCTAATAAAACAAAAAAATGACCAAACTGATTTCACTCTAGTAGTTCACTTTATAGATGTTTTTACTTGGACTGTAATTTTCCCTAGACCAGACCAGACCAGACCAGTTCAGACCAGACCAGACTTGGATAGTTATAAAAATACAAAGAAACCAGACCTTACCAGACCAGACCAGCTCAGACCAGATCAGACCAGACCAGACCAACAAATTACAGTCCAAATAAAAACATCCTATGTCTTTGGATTTGAAAGTGACTAAATTGAAACAACCGACCAAGACATGCTAAAGTTGACCAAAATTGAAGCATACCAACCGAAATCAACAGAAACTATTTTCGAAAGTATGTTTTGAGGGGAAAGAAATTAAATTTTGTGGCCTACTATTGCACCTTCATGGTTTACATTATGGGTGAATAAAGTCTCGATCTCCAGATTGGCCGTTTTTAATTTTAAATCGAGACTGGACTTGTGGGAAGAGGACCTGGACCTTAGCTCACTTGGACTGTAATTTGCCCTAGACCAGACCAGACTAGTTCAGACCAGACCACTTCAGACCAGACCAGACTTGGATAGTTATAAAAATACAAAGAAACCAGACCTTACCAGACCAGTTCAGACCAGACCAGTTCAGACCAGTTCAGACCAGACCAGACTTGGATAGTTATAAAAATACAAAGAAATCAGACCTTACCAGACCAGTTCAGACCAGATCAGACTCAAAATATTGATATATTTGCAATAAAACTTTTATTTATTGATAAAGTCATTTGAAGATTACAAAGGAAGTCTTAATAGGGAAATGAGTGTTACCGCGATATCCGGTCATCTCTTAACCAAATGCACAGGCAAACTCAACAACATCACCACCACTCTAGAAGTTCATAAATAAAATCTTTAATGAAGTCTATGTTTGACTAAGGATGTTTTTACTTGGACTGTAATAAGACACTAAACTTCACCCTTAAGTGTGCACATCCCCAAAAGAGATTCCAAGCCCTTTGAGTAGTAAGAAGTTCAAGTAGTTCGGACTAGCGCCCCCTACCTCACAATGGGTTAGATACCCGGGCAATTACAAAACCCTACCGCAACCATCAAAGGACTTTTACAGTCCCCCCCAAAAAATACCGGGATTGCTCCCGCCACCAAAATTTATCGGGATTTCTCCCACTACCAAAATTTACTGAAACCTAACTAAACCCGCGGCATATAGCTCTAAATACCCACACCTCGTGTTTCTCTCGAGATGTCAATAATCATTATAAAAAATCAATCATTCTTGGAAAATCATTTATCTCTACAATCGTCCAAAATATCTATTTAATAGATTCGCCCACCATGAATTCATATACTCCAAAGGTATTTCATCAAATTCACCATGATAGTCTTGAAGGTATTTAAAAATATTTAATGCCCAAATATACATAATTTGTATTGTTCAAATACTATAGATTTAGTCACTCGAAATAATACATGTTCAAAATTCACACTTTAATCACATAACACACAATAATCATATAATACGAGGAAAACACTAATTTTGGTTGGCAGGGAAACTTAATCTTGATCTCAAGCTCCTAGTCTCCTCTATTTTGCTCTCTAAATTATCACCTTTTCAATTAAGATGAGAAAAATGGTTACTTATTCTATTCTCAATAATTCAACTGATACCCTCCTTATACTATTATTCGAATTTATAATATGATTAATTATTGATTCGAATTTAAATTATCCATTAATTAATTAATCACTTTTATTAATTTCACCACCTCATCTTTTAACCGGCTTTATTACTATTTTTAATTTTACTTCCTTCACTGGTTTTTACAAGAATATTAATAAAATAAAACATATTTACATAAATATGACTACTCATTACTACAATGTGGTGTTGTGGTAACTTAATCTCAAAAGTTGAACACGAATTACTATGATTTTATTACTATTTTAATCAATAGTCATATTTTTGTAAATCATCTTTATTTTGGTCATGTTTATATAATTATTTCATTCACTTACTTATAAAATGTATGAGTTGAAAATTCTTGTTTACTAAAAAAATATGGGTATTTACATCGTAACTAGCCACATTAATTTTTCCAAGTAATCCAAAAATGTCAATTAATCCAAGTGTCTCGTTATCGGTCACCTTATATCAGTGATCTCAAGTTAATGTGTTTTAATCATTTAGTTTGGCCCATTTATAGTTTTACATTTCAATCACTTTTAAATTAAATAAAGTAGGCAGCTCGAAATTACCCAAATAAGCTATTCGCCACATTTTCTTTGTTAATTCAGGCGGCCCATAACTTTATTTTAAAAATTGTCAGCCCAATACCAATTAAATACCCAGCGCAGTTCTAAAATAGCCTGACTAACAAAATACAGAGTAAAGATTATGCCGAGTATACTCGGTCGTCTTCTTCAACATCATTCTGCTGGGGTGTTTTAGCTGCAGAGAACTACTGTGTAATTCCCTGAGCTTCTTAGAATTCAGTCAGTTCCTTATTTTTTAACCCAGCCCCATTGCTTGTCCTCATGATCTTCACGTTCTGTTGTAGGTAGTTTTGTATGGTCCTGATGAATGTCATGATAATGTTGGATGTTCCATCCGTGGATCGCAAAAACCTTGTCCATGTGTAGCGTGAGTAGTCATCCAGAATAACCAAAGTATATTTGCATCCATTTATGCTATGGAAAAACATCGGACCACACAAATCATATGAAGTAGCTTTAGGAGACAAGATGAGGAGGGAAATTACTTTGATTTGTGTGAAGATCTCCTCATCTTTCCCAAATGACAAACAGAACAGTGATGCTTGGACGAGTTCTTCAAAACAGGAAGTCCTTTAACAAGCTTCTTGGATGAAAGGGAGCTGATTGCGGGTAGGTTCAAGTGTGAGAGACGTCCGTACCATAGATTGTTTTGTTCTTCAGAAGCTTTTGACAGGAGACATATGGATATGCTAGATCGTACAAATTTCATATCAACATTGTGGAGATTTGTTTTTCTCTGACACTTTACCAATGGTTGTCCATCCATATTTATCACACAACACTGCTTAGCATGGAATCTGACTTCCATTCCACTATCATAGAATTGTCGATGGTAAGCAAGTTGTGCTTAAGTCCCTGTACAAATGAAAAGATTTTGATAGTGACGTTTTCACATATGACATCCCTAATTCCCATTATGGGGGATGATGTGTTGTTCCCAGATCCCTAAGCTTCAATAGAAGACTATGTTTGTGCTGAGTCTCAAGGCGCGTATGTCTCAACCCAACAAGATCTAATAGACGATTTAACTGTGCCTCCTACATGTGAAAACAGGAGTGCAGTTCCCTTAAGAAGTAGTAGTGGTTTTAAAAAGCGAACCAGAGATCAATGTGAAGGGAGATTTAAGCCAAAAATTAAAGTAGTGGAATGGATTCTATTGCTGAGATTGCTAGTGACATTCGAGGAATGAGCATATTGATGGAAAAGAGGGAGA